TATTAATTACATTACAATAATATATATATATATATAACAATTGTAGATCACAATATTCATACACGATGAACATAATATATACCATAGAGCTAGGTCACCGTAATAATAATATATTTTTTATATTCTAACATATTTTTTACCATATCACTGCCAGTCTAATCTGTTTTACATTTCTTCGTTGCTCCTGTTAAATATAATTTCGTTCCGTGGAAATCTACTGTATTCTCTTTTATCCATCACTATACCAACCATCGTACTCTAAGGATTCAAGGGATTTTTATCTAAAAAATCTTCCGCAAGCTTCACGAAAGATGTTAAACAAATTCTTCAAGTTCTCCTTTTTTCTCTAGCCACGGTATTAAAAAAAAAAAAAGAAGAAGAAGAAGAATTCAACAGTAGTAAATAAATTAACTGAAAAGAAAAAGTCGCGAATCAAATGCTGCAACGTTGGATCTCAATAAATACGTAGATCACTGGCGGCCCTTGCCCCTACTTTCCTGATCACTATCCCCTCCACTGGAACATCGATGCAGTGGAGGGGGTAGAACTAGCGACGAGAAAAGTAGGGGTAAGAGCTCGCGAACCGCCAGTTAGCCAGCTCTGAATTACTCCAATTCGAAATATTCGTGGACCTTTCTAATCACTTACAACATTTTTCTAATTTTCCTACACCACTTGCAAGAGATTCCACAAATTCACGAAACACGAAGCAATTAAACTGCTCGTAGCAAACTGCGACATACATATTTCTTATTTCCTTGACGGATTAAGAGATCCGAGATCTTTCTTTCTCTCGTAAAAAAAAAAAACCTTGCACTTTTCTCTGAATCGGTGTGAGGTATTCAACGAAAGAACGACAAACGTGTGTTTCGCAAACGTTTATTACGACAATCGTACAGTAAAAACATAATAGTACAAGCCTCTGTGCGGCATTCGGCGCGAATTTACGGCCTTGCTAACGCGATACAGAAACGATTGCGCTTTCCCCGTGATCCATTCACGGCACGGTGATTCTTATTGCTCATAAAACGAACGGGGAGGGGGAAGAAAATTCCAAAGAACGAATGAAACGAAACGTACAGAACGAACGGAAACGAAGAGAGAAATGAGACGAGAGAACACAAAGAAAGGAAGAAAGGAAGGTTCGTTCTCGAAATGATCGTTCAACTAAAATTTGATTACAGTGCCTCCGTTGATTAGGTTCGATTAATTAATTTCTACGTTTACGATCTAAATGACAGCACGTTGACAATGAGTCGACACGTTAACAGATCGATCAACGACGCGGATGAACGCACGAAATGAAATCGACGTGAACCGGTCGTGGATCGATCGTACTATAGCACCGCATCGTACGAATCACAATGGATGATAATTAATTATATCTAGTTAGATACAAAAATAACATATTGGATTAAATGTACCTATGATAGTCGCGACGCCACTGGCAATATCACGGATCATTGCTTGAAATAAATAGAATCGTTTGGCGAACCGTTTCGAGATTCGACTCTCCCAATTTTTATTTCAATTACCTCGCAGTCGTATTATCGATTATTGTTATTATATAGTAGTAGATTACGGATGTTTGTTCATTTTTTGGGAAATTTAAGGGAAATTGATTAGGGCCACTGTAAATATGTAGACAATTCATTTAAGTTCAGTATCATTAAGTGGTCCTCGAAGAGTTTGTATACTAACGTCTAAATTATTTATGATACATATGCCTCTCTTTGAATGTTGAAAATCATCTGAAGTCTTTTTGGGAATTGAATTGATTTTATTTACGTTTGTAAAAGTATAAAATTGCGTCTACTTATTTGCTCTGAACATTTTCAATTGTTAAAATTCATTAAACTATCCTTTATTAAGGAAGAATTCTAATATTAAACTTTTACATGTGTGTGTAATGATACTTCCTATGGTTTTTTTCAGTCACGTCAAGTGTTTCTTACAGTTGAATAACATGCGATCTCCATATTTCGCATTAAAAAAAGGTATTATTAATGAGGTTTCGTGTTAATGGTTGCAGAATATAATAATTCAACTACATTGAAGGGAAAAAGTGATGGAAATCTTTGTGAAATTATAGCCCAGACAATAATTTAATAACCTTCTCACATCCCGCAAGTTGAAAATTTGAAGTCTAAACGCTCACGGTAAAATTGGAACGATATCGGTCACAGAGGATTTCAATATTCTTTTGATTAAAATTTGAATATTCTATTCGGCTCCAAAAATTTCAATTTTTGTTAATTTAAATTTTCTAGAAATACAAATTTTTATAAAAATTAAAATTTTGGGGGTATTTGTATTTTTTTTTAAATGTATCAGTCAAAAATTACACGTCCCAGCAATCAACGCAAGAAATTTCTCCATCGAGTTATCTCGAAAGCCCACAAACACCTCGATAATTTCCACCACTATTCACCCCTATCTCAAAAGCTGCGCTTAAAGCTGGCCAATTCGAGGGAATCGCGCAAATAAATCAAAACGGGTGCACGAGCCATCTCTATAGCACGGTGAAACAGAGGAAAAGGGGGTTGGAGACGGCAACTTCCGTCTTTATCCACTTATCCTTGCAGAGCATGGAACCACTATCCCTCACAATTACATCCTGATCGATCCTTTGCAAAGCCTTGGATCCTTTTCAAGCCAAGCAACGTTCGTAGGCTGGTCAAGGGGGATGATGAGCGTCGAGAAGTTTACGAACCTCTTTCATTTGGCAGGAATTTCTATCCGGGTAAACGAGCAGAGAAAATATAATTGAAAGGTACGATTTTCGAGTGATTACAAACGGTTGGTTAAATTAAGGTGGGGGCAAAATTAAAGCGCGTTGCACGTCGGTGAAATTGACTTTGAACGGAAGTTGAAGAATGATGGAATTTCACAAAAATAAAGTTTTTAAACAAAAATAGAATGATAATAAAAATAATAATAAAATAGAATAAAAATAAAATTTTTAGAAAAATAGAGAACGTTGCTTGGCCAGTGAATTTTACACGGCTTGGTTCTAACGTGAAAGGTAATTTTAATTAATTTTAGGTAGCTTTGGAAAATTTAATTAATCAAGTAAATCAAATACAGGTAGTTTAATTGATTGATTAATACTAGAACTATCAAAGCGGTCATATAAGCTATCAAAGTGGTGGTAAAATAATGTACAGATTGGAGATTCAAATAATTTTTTCGTAAACTGTAGCTCGAAAGCTCGTGTACTCTATTGTATTATAAAGTTTAATACGATGGAAATTTAGAACGTTAAATAAGTTTTGTCGTCGATCGTTGAATAACTTGAGTCGAGATGTAATTTCTGTACAAAAAGTCAATTGTAATTGCAGTGTGTTTTATTAGGTTGAAGTTTAATTGAAAATGAATTTATAAAAATTGATTGACTTTTTAATGAATAGTCTTCGTCATTCGATTGTTCCGTCTATAAAGCGGAATATTAAAATCCTTTTAAACGAAAAGTTGAAAAAATAATTTTTTGAAAAATGGATAAGTTTAAAAGCAATTAATTTAAATACATGATAGAGAAAATCTATCGTCAAAAATTGAGGCTTAAATGAAAATAAACGTTACAATAAAATTTTCATAGTTAAGATTACTATCTACTGTTTTAGCTTTATTTTTACAAATTAAAAGGCTAGTATATATAGACATCGAGAGATGCTAGAATTAATAAAAATTTATTAACATTTCCGTCCATCCTCTATTACTACAGTCGCAACAAAAGAAATCTACGCAAATAATAAAATAATACCTGAATAGTTAGTTCTTTTGAAAATTTAAATGCCTACAATTCTGCGATAATGTTCGACAATTAGCTAGCAAGGATAATAGGACGTTGCAGTATATATTCTGTTATACGTCTACGTGTGCAGGATGAAATTTCTAAGCTGAAGATCCCAGTCAAGATCGCTCGGGAACTCTAACGCGGATTATAGATGGAAATTATAACGATACATGAGAGGAAATCTCGAATCTCGGAACGTGCCTGAAATTTTGTCAATTGCTCGGAATTTCCTTCGTGGCATCGCCCTCCGACAACGCTAATCGTTGAACGAAACGCAAGAGCAATGATTCCGATTCGAGGGAATTAACGCATTCACCGCTCGATATAAATACGGAGCCTCCTTTCGCTCGAGAAACATTCTCGATCATCAGAACAATAATTAGGAAATAAAATTAGGAAGAGATTAAAAAAAAAAAAAAAGAAGAAATGAAATTTTATGTACACTCCCGCTCAAAGGATCTTCTAATAAGAATATCATAATCGTAACTTTCAAAACGCAATTAACTGAATATAATTTTTCATTTACATAGGAAGTTGTTATTTTTAAGTGTGATCAATTCAAATTTCAGCACTGTAAATAAGTAATATTACGAATGAAATATTTATTCGCATTATTTCTTTCAAAATGTTGACATGCTCCAAATTTTTGAACGGGAGCGTCAAGACAAAACACTTGGTTCGTAATTTTTCCTCTTTAAACGCTAAAAAGAATTATTCACAATCATTAAAATTTGTCAGATCTGAAAATCAATATCGTCACGATACAACGGATTAACAAGAGCGTAGTATCACTTGTAGAGCTGTAAATGATAAATGTTATGAGTGCTATGAGACTAAAAACTAATTTTTATGAAAAGAGAAAAATTTTAATAAATTCTATGTTGACCTAGAATTTTATGCAAATTCATGTTTATAGTATGATAATTTAAAAATAATAGGACCTTGGGATAGAAAATTGTTTTACTTGCTAAATATTATTATATTATAAAAGGTACTGTACTTTTGAACGTTCTATATATTTTTCATGTTACGCGCAATTAAAAATTTTCTGTAGATATGTAAAAATCAGCCAGTTCTCATAATACACGAATCTAAAGACATACAAACATATTTTCTGCTTCTACTAAAATCCTTGACGCCTAGGCTCATAACTTACCACTTCAACTCTTCAGCAATAAAAAGAAATAATTCCAACATATTCTTACCTTCTCACATCCGCCACTCATTTACCTGTCTCACCGCAAAAATTTACCAATGCACTTCTTCGTTCTTTCCTTTTGTCCAACTGTCCAAAAGCATCCCCTCGGGGGAATGCGTCCAGACGTGCAGCAGTGAATCCATTAACTCGAACGAACCTAATTGCAAGGAAAACAGCTTGGCCCAGCTTGGCACAGCCAGCTTCGATCAACACTTAAGCTGCTTGCACTGTACACCGATCTCCGTGCACCTGCACTCCAGACAAGGTCCAGACAGCTCGGTGATGATCCTACCAACGCGATACATTCTCCCGTAGATGTTGCATCCGGCCAATTTTAACAAACTAGCCACCGACACGGGTATCTCGTTCTCCAGCACCTTCGAAGACGTTCCAGCCTCCGTCACGTGTTCCTCCGTTTTCTCGCTCGCTCTAGAAGACATCCTCTCACCCTCTGACTCGCGACTAACATCCGTGGTTGATCTGCTCGTGGTCGATGTCTCGGTTGCCTTCGTATCTTTATCCTCCTGATTGTTATTCATATCCGAAGAGAACAACAAATCTAGAACACTGTCCAGGCTGAATATAGGATCCTCCAACTCTGCGGAAGATGGTTTACTCGTGGCAGAATGATATCTCGAATCGTTCAATTTTGAATTATTCAGTTTCAACTCGTCGAGCTTCCACTCCGACGAGACGTTCGTCGATGTGTTGACGTACGAAGTGCTCGATTTGATGAAGTGAGGGTTCGTTGCATCGAGGAGAGAGGGGACAGTTTGACCCTCCTGTTTCTTAGTGGTACGATCCGTTATTGGAGAGCCAGTTTTCTCAAGGATCGTCTCAGAAACGTGGTTTGCCGTTTGTTCAGTTTCTTTGGAACTGTAACTCGGGGAGATCGCTTCCACCGGATGTTCGTCTTGATTCAGATTGTATTTATTCTTGGAGATTAGCCTGGTCGGGTCCTCGTCTGGCCTGTAAGGCGGACGAAGGATAGCCAATTTATCTACGAAATCGAAGTTTGCTTGCAGAGGTATCAGAGTGCTGGTGGTCGATGGCCTCGGAGTGGTGATCCCGTGTTCTACCAGGTAAGGGATCATGTCCTCGATCAGAGAAGGCAGATCAGGAGCCGGTTCTGTCTTGATCACGTCCCGAAATGGGTCTGGAGATACGATCGGTTGATGAAGCGACGGCGCTGTTGCGTCTGCACGATCTAACACTAACGTTGGTGATTCCTCCGCTTCCACTGCAAGTATTCGCGACGTTAGAATTGGAATATCGAAGAGTTCTCATTAGTTGAATGATGTTTGAGGAAATTTTTTATGATTTTAATACAGTTGAGTGATTAACGTGAAATGGGAGAGATGTGATAGAATTTTAAAATCCATTATTGAGGAAATTTTAATTTTTGATTTTCGAGTGATTCGAATTCGGATGGAATTGTACTTTTTAGAACAAAGAATTGGTTAGTAAATTATATTTTTACAATTTTAATAGTTAAGTGAATGTAATTAAGGCTGAAAAAGATGTAGTGAAATTAATTTTGTTAATTTTAAACTATGTTATTGGCTAATATTTTGAGAGGATCTTAATAATTTTAATGAATGGAGAAAATGAATATTCATTTCAGATAAATTTTCGTGAAGAAACATTTATATTAAAGTATATATTCTCTGGGTTTAGTTTGAATTGTTGAATAAAATTTAGTTTCCGAGAGAATGCATACATTAGACTTTTATTTATTAAATTTATTAAGACATCGTCTATGTGAAAACGAAGTAATAAATGAAATTTATAACAATTACTCCAAAATTGTTCGATCGCCAAAAATAAGACATTTATAAAATTCTTTTCTTGACTGATTTATTCACGTCCCAAGAATGAAAATTAAAATAAAAAGTAATCCCATGTCTCCTTTGATAAATCAATAATTGATTCTCTCGGAGAATCTCAAACCAGGCGATTGCCAGACACTAACTAAAAGATGTGAGAAAAATTGTGTTCGTTTATCAAAGAGGGATCTTTAAAAAAAAAAAAAAATCGTGCAAAATTTCTCATACCACAGACGATTTTCCCGCAACACGTCTCCTCGGTGTTGATCCTTCTGCATCCGATCTTCAGAGGCGGACATTTTTCCGAGGAGCACACCACCTCGCCGTAGTAGCACATGCAAATCACGCAGATACCGCTGCTCGGCAGAATCTCCCCGTGACGGTGCTCCATATTCTCGAAGAGACAGTTGCTGGCTGAGATTTATGAAACAAAAGCGCAGATGATTTTTCGCGCAACCAGCCGAATTTGAAGTCCTCCCGACCGACTGAATACTTTCAAAATTTTACTTTAAAATTGCGAAACGAACGAAAACAATTGCCTGCAACTGCAATTTCCTTTATTCTGAAGAACGGAGAGGACACAGTAAGTAAAAATAAGTCACTGAAGGCGGATTAGAAACTTATGCATTTGGAACGAAAATTTGGATATTGGTTTTGTTGCAACCGTGCATTTTGTAAACCTACTTTTCTGTAAATATTCGTTGCCCAGTTTCTTTAATGAATATCGATGCGGCACACGTTTGAGTATGTTTGCGTAAGTTTCGCATCAAATGATTATAAATTAACTTCGACATACACTACCGTGCTTGAAAACACTTTTAAATTATTTATAAAATACAGTTCAAATGAATCTTTCCAATTTAATCCCAACATATACAATTAATTGTAACAATTAACGTAAAAATTAGATGACACTGATATCTATTTATCGTTGAAATTTTAGAACTGATTTTTAGACTGAAACGTATGTTTCTAATTCATATCGAGAAGGTTTGTGTTATACATATTTTATGGAGCATCGACTCTTTACTATGAAATTTAAAAATGCAAGAAAGTAACAATGAATCTTGAGATTGCAAGAAAGTGTGGGAACATAATCGAAAAATACTAATTTTAATGGAATTGCATTGAATTATTTACACATGATAGTGCATATCCAAATTTAGTATTACAGAGAATTAATACCTGATGCCAATAATAAAGTAAAAAATTACGGAAGGAATAGATTTAAAAAAAGGTGTTCGTTACCATCGCTTTTACGATGAGGATTGGTGATTGGAGCCGGAATCACGGTGACGCCTGTTCCGATTTCGAGATTCAGATCAGTGGAATGGTAAGGCGCGTCGAAATAGGGCGGTTCCCTTGGAACGAATCCACCTTGTGCAAAACAAATCGAGTTCAAAGAAGAAGCCACTAAAAATACTTACAGACTCTATGAAAAATTAATTTGGATATAAATAAATCATGTAAACGTGCAATTAATCAAAAAAAGTTGAACCACACGTTCAATATTCAATATTCAATTTTTGACTGATTTATTTGGTAGTTAATGTTATACAAATTTAGAAGAATAATGGAGTCTGTTATGTAATCACGAATGTACAAAATATGTTTGTATTATTATTGTAATTTCATATGTAAATTATGGTGTAACTTTTAATAAGATAATTTTCAACTCTACCTTTTCTGTCTCAAATTTTCGAAATTTTACAGCTTTATATATAAGTAGACTTCTGTGATCGATTGTATGTGTCAATAAAAATGAAAAATATTCTAGAGATTAGATTGTGACGTGAATAAAAAAAGAGAATGTGTCGCAAATTTGTAATTCCATCAATCCACCAAAAAAAAAAAAAAAAAAACCACAAAAAGGAAGAAAAATGAATTAAAAATTCCACGAAGCACACGAATAAGAATAAAGGACAAAACCTTCCATGATCCTCTATTCACAGAGCCACGAGAGGCTGTTAATTGAGAATGAAGGAAAGATAAAAGAAGAAAAAAAGGAAAAAGAAATACGAAAAGAAAAACGTAGAAGCGTAAAAAAAAACTTCCACGAAAGTGTCAGCGCGAGAGGAATCGTGGTTTACGTGGGGGGCGAGACGTAAAACGCGAACGGGGGTGGTTTAAAATACGACTCACCTTCGGTCTCCACTGGCGGGCTGAATCTGTTTTCCTGAGTGGCGATGTCGTAAAATCCGGAGGTGTCGGTGGGCCGGAGTTCCGGAGGCACCACCACCGAACCGGAAGGATATCCGGTGACCGGCGACGGGACCGTCTTGTCTTTCACTAACGCGTCCGCTGCCACGAACGGAATTATCCTGCATGGAAACGCATAAATCAACCCTTTTCTCATTTCCCTTCGAGCGTCCGTCCCATGTATATTTGTTACGTAGTTCGCTGAATCTCGAGCGTATTTTAAATTTTGAAATAAAATCTTGACGACGGGTGCTTATGACTTATACTGAAGACGGTATTACATATTATATTATATTATTATATATTATACTGTCTTGTATAATTTTATACAAGTTATTGACAACCGTTTGAACTATTTAAATATTTTGACAAACTACATTAAATGTTCTGTAGAATAATTTAATTCTGACGTATTAAATTAATTAAATAATGAATAATAAATAATTCTGATTAAATGATAAAAATATTTTATAGAATATTTAGTTTGAACTATTTAAATATTTTGACCAACTACATTAAATGTTCTGTAGACTAGTTTAATTCTGATGTATTAAATTAATTAAATAATGAATAATAAATAATTCTGATTAAATTAATTAGATGATTAAAATATTTTATAGAATATTTAGTTTGAACTATTTAAATATTTTGACCAACTACATTAAATGTTCTGTAGACTAGTTTAATTCTGATGTATTAAATTAATTAAATAATGAATAATAAATAATTCTGATTAAATTAATTAGATGATTAAAATATTTTATAGAATATTTAGTTTGAACTATTTAAATATTTTGACCAACTACATTAAATGTTCTGTAGAATAATTTAATTCCGATGTATTAAATTAATTAAATAATGAATAATAAATAATTCTGATTAAATTAATTAAATGATTAAAATATTTCACAGAATTAATTCTAATGTGTTACGTAGAACGTCCTAATGCTTTAGTAGCCTTTTTCAAATTAATATTATTCATTTCAAATGTATTAATATCCACAAAACATTTTAAATTCCTCCAGTAACTGACCGATAATTTAGTATCTCTCTAATTTAAGCAACCTATCCAAATTTTCCCTAAATTCCTCAAAATTGGTAACATCTCAATTTTAATGTTCAAAATTTTACTATCTATCAGAACTTTTCCTACATTTTACCAACATACTCATCTCTAATTGCCAATTTGAATATCTCCCCCCCCCCCCTCCCCTCAGATTTCTCGCAAACGCTTCAATCTCACGCGACAACTCTTCTTAATTTCGAATTTCTAGTAACCTGAACACCTGTCTAATTTCTCTTGGTAACGTGACGAACCAATAGTATTACCTTACCTGACATTGGGTAACGACGGCGGCAACGTCGGCTCGCTGTAATCATAATCGTAATCCTCGCCCTTTTCCCGATGAGTGATGTTCAGAATGGCCTCGACGTCCGGCGGGATCGATCTAATCGGATTGATCGTCACACCCTGTATGTGACCCACCGAGACGTTTGTTTTCACAGTCACGTTCATCACCAGGATGTCGTCCGGCATTACCACGCTGGATGACGTTCTGGTAACGGACCCTTTGCTCATCGACTCCGTGGTCTCCATCGGTTTCACCTAATGGCAACAGGTTATGTAGTTCCAACTCGAGGATTGACTGCACGCCAAACTGGACGTTAATTGATCGACGACCGATATAATCGATAGGGTTAAAGGGTGACGAGCCAGCAAGTGTTCAAGGTCGAAACCTCTTTTTCTCATATCGAAAAACTACTCTTCGATTTTTTGTAATATCTTTTACATTATAATATTTTTTATAATATATTTTTATATTACTTTTTATCAGTTTAATATATAATATATTTTTTTATAATATCTTTCGGTTTTTAAGAATATTCAGAATAATTCTTTTTTATCCTGCAAAAGTTCATCTAGCTGTCTGCGCGTATCGTTTTTAAACTAGTTTTAATACTTTTGACAAAAATTCCAATATTAGCAAACTCGAGAATACCTAAACTTTCCATTGCGCGGATGTCCAAACAAGTTTATCGTAAAAGAAGCTGTAAATCGACTAGATTCTCCCTAAATATTTCGACGAGATGTTAAAACGAAAAGAGATATACTCGTTTACAACTGCTCTCGATTACCCGGCTATTAATCAAAATCGCTCTGTTTCCTGTCGATTGGCTACAAACTATCGGTAGTTCGGGCAATATTTTCCAAGCAAGAGAGATCGTGCCAAGGGGGGATTCGCCTCTGTATCCACTGGAGGATCCTCGATTTATTTGTTATCCTCGAACGATTTGTTTGCACACTAACCGTCGAGTTGGCGTGCTCGAAATCCTGTTCGAGCTCTCCGCTCGTCGACGAGGTCGCATTCTTGTTCCTCACGGTCACGTTGTGCATCTTCTCCCCCTCTGGCTGCTGCAACTCCGTCACTGTATCGTTTCCACTCGGTTCCGGTAACAGGGTCGTTGATTCCGTAGTCGTCGTCGTCGTCGTTGTCGTAATCGTAGTCGTCGTCGTAGTCGTGGTGCTCGTCGTATCATCCATCGACGACAGATCCTCGATAACGTTGATCGTCGTCGACTCACCGACGCTGTTCGTTGAGAAGATTGTCGACGAGTCGTTGGAGAGATCGTCGTCCCTGATGGACAGAGTCGATTCCACTGTGAACGAGTCGACGCTCGTCGTTGACTGCAAAATGATGCATTATCGATTCTTAGAGGATTTAACGTTTGACATGCCAGTTCGGTTTATTTAATGTTCAACGTTGGAGACGTGTATCGTCTAATTTCATTTATTTGATGTTGGAGATACTATTTATTCATTTAACATCGAAATCAATCGTCGACGTCATTTATTCAATTGTAACGCTGTTAGTTAAATGAATAATTGAACTTTTTTTTTATGTAGAGATATACAGAGAATGATTCAAAAAATAAATATACTTATGTATATATATATATTTTAATAGAATATTTTGTAAAATAAAATTCCGGGTTAGAGATTCTTGGAACATTTAATGTTGCACAATGGAACTAATAAGTAATTGAAATGAGTAATTAATTGATGCAGAGAAATATCATACATTTGCAACAGATAAAAATTGTTGGTTCTAAAAGTTTAACATGAATATATAAAAATGATTATTCAGTGAATATTCACCACACAAGTAAAAAGACTCGGTCTTTGATATTTGCACATTCCGTATAATTTGAAAACTTGATTTCTGCTATCGATATATATATAATGTAAAAAAAAAGAAAAAAAGAAATATGTATTTAAGAGAGAAAAATTTCTACGTGGACACAGAAATTGAAAATACCTCTTCGACAGTGGCAGAAGTAGTGGTGGCGATTTCCGGGCTGGACTTCACGTAGTCAACGGTCTCGAGTATCTCGTTGTCCATAATATCAGTCTCGAAGGTAGCGGGCCAGGACGTGGAATCAGTCACGATGGAAGAAGATTCCTCCACGAGTTCCTTCGTACTCGAATCGATTCGTTCCTCGACCACTCGATGACCCCGTCCCTCAACCGGAGGATTTGTTATTTGATCGACTGCCGGCTACGTGGATTATACGTCACTGTTAATTTCATTCGTATATACTTACGTATAGTAAGTGGATAATAATTGAAAACCAGAGAGAAAGAATATTTCCTATTTTATGTGTATATGAAAACAGTTTTTCATCACTGGAGATTTTTACTTTATGCTTGCTTAATTCTGAAATTTTTAATAATGATAATAATTAAAAATTATAATTGTATAATACATATTATAATTATATAAAATATATTATACAAAATTTTATAATTTATATATTTTATATAAAATTATATAATTACAATTATATAATATATATTATAATTATATAAAATATAATATTATATAAAATTTTATATAATTACAATTATATAATATATATTATAATATTTATAAAATTTTATATAATATTAAAATTATATATATTATAATTTTAATATTATAATATATATAATTATATATTAAAATTTTATATATTATAATTATGTATATAAAATAATTATAATTTTAAAATATGAAATAAAATTGAGAACAATTTAATCTTTTTAATATGATACATGATCATAATCATCGATGACAAGTAACGAATGCGAGTGTTTGATATGAATGGCGAATTAATTGGGAACGGTCGGTGATAGAGTTATTGAGCCATCGAATTATTCGGTTGTTGAATGAATGAGTTATTAAGTGATCAAATCCTCGAGTTTATGAGTTATTGAGATATTGAGAGTCATTGAACTGTGTGTTATACGAACATTGTATCATCCAACGTATTAATGAATCATGGATTATTTTGATGAAGAGAGTTACGTCCGATGAGAGATAGGTCATTTATTTGTAATTCTTAGAGAATGAAAATTAAAGTTAGTATAAAATAAATGATGTTTGTATTTCCCCTGAAGAAATGAGGAGCGGAATTTTCTTTGGAAACCATAAGTGATATAAGTTAGAATTAATATTAGACCACGAGTTAGAAATTAAAATGAAGAATTGTTACGTTAAATGTTAATAGGCCATGAATGTCTATGCATTTATGGAGAATTTAAATAGAATATATAATAATATAATATAAGAAATATATAACAATATAATATAAAAATATAAAAAAATGATTAGACAAAAAATAAATGTGCAAATCTACAATATACAAAATAGATAACACATACTTTAAATGAATGTCATATAAACATCTACAATCTACTTTATTAAGTTATTATAGTCTTATTGTCAGCTCTTTATTTCAATTTAAAATAGACAAATCATACCATAAATATATGAAGAGTGAAACGAATAATTTAGAAAATGTTTGTAAAAAAATACACGTCTACGATCCTCTGTAACTTCCTGATTATTAATTACTGTTTAAAATCTGGAAACTAATTATTATTTAGTAATTATCCTTTCGACAATAAATTGCATAAAATGCACAATAAACGTTTCAAACACAGAATGTTTATATCTCTCAAGATATCACACGATATGAATTCCCAAAATTCCACAAAAATACCATATCCAGTCTCATCAAAATTAACAAGGAGACACGAGTGGACTGCAGCATCGGGAAATATGGGGAATCGATACGTGCAGTTTATCTTGGACCGGACGTTGTCTGACTGAGATCCCGATTTCATCTGTCATCCATCGTCATAAAAGTACGTGGCTCGGGCTCGGGCTCGTGATTTACAAGTCGGATGGAATTTAATTAATGCAATGCCGCGGTGAATGGACGCCGCGTCAGTTAGATATTTAACTTAGTTAGTCGAGGAACTCAACGCGATGCATTCCTCGTCGAGGAGATCCCATGGTATCCCACTCTTCAGCGGCTTCACGGCTTCCGCCCTTACGTTCGCGTATTTGTTGCCCCGGCTGGTTAACCATTCCCCCTCTCTTCGAAACAATTATACGATCATTTGTCTCGGCGATTTTGTCGCTTTAAACGATCGACGGTTCGGGTACTGCCCGCGAAACGAAAGATAGATTAGCGTCTCGTAATTAAAACGTTCGTAATTAAAAGGATATCACGGCGGCAAGGATATTAAAACGCGCGTTGAATGCTCGACGGGACGAAGGAGATTGTTTGAGGAAATGGTCGTTGAGTGCGACGATGTTTAGGATCTCCTTGGAACAATCATTTTTAGAAGAACAAACAGGACAAGTAGCAGTATTGTTTAAGACATTTTGCGAACGCAGTAATTTAACTTAATTCAATTTATTTAATTTATTTGATTGTTCTATTTTATTTTATTTATTTGAATTAATTCACCATTTACGGTCAATAGACTGTGGATTTTTATGCATTTAGACTTGGGAAGTTTGGATAAAGACTTGCAGAATTGGATAAAATACGTATGAAAATATACAAAATATTTGAGAGTATTTATTATAATAGAGTATTTGTTATAATATTTAATAGATCGAACAAATTCCACTTATTTAATGTGCAAAACGCATAAAAATCCGCAGTTTAATCATCAAATTCTGTTCTATAATTCTATAATTTCACCCGCGATATTGTATTATATATATATGAATGTATGAACAAATAAGATAGATCTCTATTTTTTCAATTGTATCCATCGGAAATATAAAATTCATTAGACTATATCGTATCTTTACGAGAAAAATAATTTTCAAGTTATCATTATAAAAATAATCTTTTATAATAATATATATTATAATAAATATATATAATAAATATATATATTATAAACGATAATTTTTATATTATAAAAAAATTTTCATCATTATAAAAAATTAATTCATTCATTCTTAACCAATTACTAAAATCTCATTCATTGGTCTTCGTATAATAATTTAACCAATAAAAAGAAACTATGTTAATGTGACGCTGTGCTGTATTTTACAATCATTCAAGTGCATACTGACAACGTGAAAAGTTGCTACTTTGACTTGCACTGTTTTCTCAATTAACAAAATCATATTTAATCCCGTAAGAAATCAATCTTTCATTTCTTCTGAAGAAGAACCATGTATAATATTTCTTCGAGTTGCTTTACTTTCTTCGCAAGGATGCGACACGTACGCGGAAATTAAATTCTTGGAGAAATATTAAAAAGTAGAAATTCTTACAAAGATAAAATTACAAATAGAATTAAACAGATGGATAGATAAAATTATTAAGTAGATTATATCATTATATTGCATTGGCAAACAGATTGAACAGATGGATAGATAAAGGATGGAATTAAATTCTTAGAAAGATAGAAAAGGAGAAAAAGAAAAATAGAAAAACGTACGAAGAAATTGGTCTCCTTGCGAAACTTGGCGTAGTCCTTGCTGATGAACGCGTACGAGGCGTAGTTCTGGGTGGCCTTAACCTCGATGCTACCGCCTTGAACGTTTAATCTGTCAGTTTCTTATGGCATTCGGGCTAGAACACCTAGGTGGTAATCAGGGTTGTGAAAGAGCACAGGGTTTTTGCTAGGCGCCCCACCCGGCTTGTGTGTTTCCGTCTTTTCTTTCCCGACTCCTCTAACAAGCAGCGCGGAAGGAAATTGGAACGATCGTTCGCCTCCCTCGGCCCCGGAAGTTGCTGCCTAAAGTCAAGTCGTTCACGAAGTTACGAGATTTTCTTTCCCCCTCCCCCCAGTAATGAGATCTTTTCCTGCCTTCTTCTCCAGTTTATCGACGACAAACATTTCCTCTCTTTTTAATTTCATCAATAATGTGTTTCAACTTTCGGTAAGCGAAACTTCATTCCGTTAAGGTTCTCGCGATAAATAATTTTTGCAATAAAATTGTTGGTGATTGAAATTGTTAAATTTTGAAAAATTTTACCATCGTTTTCTTTTTTTTTTTTTTTTTTTTTTTTTTTAGTGAATTTGTTGAAAATGGACTTTAAATAAAACTTTTTAACAATTTTATTTTAATAAATTAATAAATTGACATTGATGGTATTTGATAATTATTATTTGAAATAATATTTTGATAGAAAAAATTAGTATCAATCACAATGAGAAATGGTTTTTGATAAAATTTTGCTTCTATAATTTTGATCCAAGTCTCAGATTCTAAATTTTTCCTACTGAACAATTGAATTATCAGCAATCAAAAGTTAATTTCACGGAAACAGTTTAATAAAATTCTATTTCTGTAGGACCCAAATTTCTACAATGAGGATCCCACAGTTCGATAATCAAATTTCAAGGGATATTATTATCGCGATTTTTCTAAGTCGAGACGAAAAATTATAATCGTGGTAAAAATTCCAATCTTCCCGGGGGAAGCGCCGAAATCACCGAGGATATTATCCTTTTCACCGAATCTGGATACTCAACCGAGCATTCAAATTTAATGATTTTCCACGCGATGTTCCAACGTTTCCTCCGCGAATTTCCTAATTCAATCCTACTTTCGCCATTTCGCGACGTTTTCATGCTCACGAGATTAATTTCGACCCGGGATTCTGTGAAAAAAAAATGCTAAAATTATAATAACGCGACTTGCCCCTTTGAAGAGAGAAAGCGAGAAATTAAAATATGTCGCCTTTGGGGAAAGAAAAAGAGAGTAAAAAAATAGAAAAGACTCTGCATCCGAATTTATTCAATTTCTGATCAATTCGATTGAACGTGAAAGCAATACGAAAAGCTGGGGAAAGTTTAAAGCTTTTCATATTCCCATTCAGTGACCTGTTAGCCCGTTCCGCATTCTCATTCAGTAACTCGATTCGAAACTTATTCGTCCGTAGCCCAGGTTTCCTGCTAAAAAATTCATTCAACGCCTCCAGAGAAATTCTCCAACTTCAACTTCAATATCTTCGTGGTAACAAACCATCGATTTCATGCCCCATCTTCGCATCCTGCGAAAACTAACTTCACCGCATGAATTCTCTAGCACCAATTTCAATAACTAACCCTCTCAAAATCGATCAAGATTCTGACTTGCAATTACGTGTCTTACTTCATTCTTATTTATTTTACATTTTATTACATTTTCTAAATCTTTTCGACTTTTTAAGTCTGGACAGATCGTTTTAATTTGTCGCCTGAAATCGATAATATTTTCACCAGTGAGATTATCCTTTTCAATTTTTAAAAAATACGCAAGACTCTTGTCAAATATTAACTTTAAAATAGTAATTCAATAATGAAAAAAAAAAAAAAAAATAAACTGAATGAACCGTGAAAGTATATTGAATGTCGCAATCTTGATTTCGTGCAAATTTAAGGTAAAAGATTTTATTCCAAAATTTAGTTGCTATAAAATTCAATAAATTTCACAAATAGGAACTTTGGCAACACATCTTCTCACCGTGTCCCTTCAAATAAAAAAAAAAATTCTCAAACATACTCTTTACCTTTTCAGCCTCACTCTCTGAAGTAAATTTATTTTTTTAAACATGTAGAAAAAGAAAACCTACGCACGAATTGAAGAAGATGAATAAATAAAATTGTAACATTACCAAGTATATATCTAAAGATCCTCTCCAAATAAAAGTGATATCCTTCTAAAGCCTTCTCGAAATCATATTATTTCCCAAATAATAGATTTCAACTTCAAGACACGCGATTTGTGTGGCGTGTACGAATCGACGAAGTCAGTAAGTTGATCAGTATAATCGATCAAGGAACAGAGTAAGAGTAATCGGCCACGGAACCGGAAAACACAAAATCCGGGCGGGCCAGTCGGGCGGGGCGAAATCGCGGCAACCCTGATGCAAAGGCATTACGACTCACTGCAGTTGTAGGTGGATGGACAACAGTGTCCTTCGCGTACGATCGGGCTACAGCCTTGAAGAGGAGGCGCACAAGCAAGGGGCACACATCGTACTGCGCCCATCGCGCAGAAACAATTGTCGCAGGCAGCTTTCCACTCGATGTCCCGGACCATTTCACCCTCCTCGTATATTCTTGAATCCACGCGGCACCCTGTGAACCCAGCATCAACTGAATTGGCTGAAGAATTTAATTAATCTCTTTTTCCGATTCCTGCGTGCAATATAAGTTGTTTTTTTTTTCCTTTTTACTATTTACTTACGACGTACAGTGTCTGTGAATATATGAATATTATTTGTTAAGTGTCGATAAAATATTCTGACTAATTTATTTCGTTATTCTTTAAAAATCCTTGTTATAAAAATTATCTGAACCAAAAAAATATTTGATATCAAAGAAACTGTGAACTAGTACTCGAGAATCTTAAAGTACTATGTTTCGATCTAAAATTGGAAATGTGAAATAATATTTTGAAGTTGATTAGTACGATGATTTCTCTCACGTTTTCTACAATGTTCTCGTGCATCAAATGTTATGAAACTCTCGCAGTAAAAGTAGTAACAATTGGTATTATTGGAATCATAAATAATTACATTCAAATTAAGCTACTTAATTTCAACTTGGAAGACCTTTAAAGAGTTTTGAGATCAATCTGAACTATTGCACTCGCAATACTCAACAATACCAACTGAAAGTTAAACATAACTGAACAGAAGAATACTTTAAACTCCTTCGTCAATCCATTACATACACTCCATTCTTAAAAATCGAAATTCCATTGCGCTGAATAATCCCCTTATTTAACTTTCAAGTCGTTTATCCGCCAATTTCGAGAACGAAACAGTTTCAAAGTACATGTCCTTCGAAACCTCTCTCATAAACCAGCCGACATCTATGGCCACTGTAGCGACTGATAACAAGTGAAAAACACACACACGCGTACACAGAGTAAGTGAATATCGATCGACCAGACGATATTCCGAAGCTAAGTTCCATCGCGAGATCCGGGGACTTTATTAGACAATTACAACGTCTTCCTCTCGATTGACGACGAAAGGCGAACAATAGAAGCCGGTGTTCGATCGTTATTCAGTGTTTTCACGACGGACTTCCGGTGGACGGGACTTTAGAACGAGCTGCGAGCAGCAGCAGGCTGGGTTTCGAGGATAGTTCCCTGGGAAACTGTGCGGGGATTAAGTCGGCGGTTCGAGTGGACTTCTAATGGGGTGGAAACGAGGCTTTGGAGGGAGGTTTAAGTTTCAAGTGGCAGGCATGTAACTGGCCGTTAAATGGACAAGCAACGGCGTCTGAGAGTGTTGGTCTTTTGGTAAACGATGAAAGGAGGTGTGTGGTTTCCGGGACGGTGGAAAAGTAAAGGCACACGGTGTAGAAGCTCGATCAGTCGCCAACGATTTACGAGCGATTCCCTCTCTTTACCGATGCGAGCGAATTAAATATTCCTCCGGCATTTTCACAATGTCCCTTCGATAATTAATTAACGAGCAACGCAACTGAACTTTCCAACATTCTCTAAAATCATTCTGCCGTACACGTTTAATACGATCTAATTTGGGATATAATTTATAATACTTCGTTATTTAGAATCGGAATGCATGCTATCAATTTCTTTAGAGTCACTACATCTTTCATTAAAACAGCCGTTGAATCGTTTCGTTCGACCAAATAATCAAGTCAAAAATTGCAAAAATAAAAGTGAAAAAAGAAAATGATGATATTACAGGCATTGTTTTTTTTTTTTCTTTTCTAGATTTATCTCGAAATTTACTATCACTCTTGCGAGATTAAATACTAATCGCGTAACTGAATCGGACAATGAAATGGTGAAATTTACGAAAATTGGGGTTAATCATTCTAGCTTTTACATATATATACACATACAAACTCGCGTATGAGAAAAGTCGAAGGGAAACGTTTTAATGCAATAAAAGCACGGATCTTGCTCGTCGACGTTACGTTCTCCCATGACAGTCTCTGCCTCGAAAAGATTTCCACCACGGCCATCGTTTCCTCTGCTCGTTCACTTAACGCTCAGTTTCATTCAATTTTACGATGGCGGTCGCTCCTTTCTTCCCGTGAAAATGAGGAATCATGCTCGCATGAGGAAATCTGACGCACGGAACGAACACGTGCAACGTTTGTTTTACTTCCGCGGAATTTTTGTTTCCGCGGCCTTCTCCGCCCCTCGTGGTTACTTAGACGTTTTTATCTACTGGCTTCACCCTGCCAGCATTACCGTTTCATTTTAAAAATTCTTTCCGCATATTTTCATTTGGAAATTTCGACGACTATTTACTTTGTAATTTTTCTCTTTTTTTTTTTTTTTTTTTTTTTTTTTTTTTTTTTTTGTTTGTCTGTTTGACATTTGTTTCACGGTATCTGTCGACTTTTTTAAATTCACCGTTGTGCGTGTTTGCTTGTTCTTTTTTTCTTTTTTTTTTTTTTTTGTTTTTTTTGTTTCAGGAATTATTTTGTTTGGTTTCGT